TCAGCTTAGAGGGAACACTGCTCCTGACCTAGAACTGTTGATACCCTCCTGTTTGTTTTTGGTATAAACAGGTGATAAAAATGCTGACGTTCTCGGCTAGGGCTGAGAAAGGAAATTAGATTTTTCTCCCCGGCCATGGTTAGAGCCACAAATGGGAGGAGAGGCCCCATGTTACCTCTGCGGACTTTTCCAGTCCCCCCCCCCTTCCCACGCCTTCTCTGAATGGGCTGTTGGTCTCTCTGGGTTTCCTGGTGTGAAAGCGGCCGTTCTGCTAGCCGTCGGACCTCGTTAATCATTAAGCATTAATCAATCATTTACGTTGTACTCGAAATGCGAGACGGGCAGCTGCCAGAACCTGAATTCAGGAGCCGGCCCTGGAGGTCTTCAGGAGGTCTTGCGTCTGACAAAGGGCCATGGCCCATTCCTAATCCCGCATGGCTGTGCTGGGAACGCCTTCCAAGAAGGCTGCGAGTTTGTTGTAGTAGATAGGAGCGCGGACTCTAATCTGGGAGAACCGGGTTTGATTCCCCACTCCCCCACGTGCAGCTGCTGGTGTGACCTTGGGTCAGTCACAAGTTCTCTCTGAGCTGTTCTCTCACGAGCAGTTCTCTCGCAAGCTCTCTCAGCCCCACCCACCTCATGGGGTGTCTCTTGTGGGGAGGGGAAGGGAAAGGAGATTGTAAGCCGCTCTGAGACACTGGGTAGTGAAGGGTGGGGTATAAATCCAATCTCTTCTTCTTCTTCTGTGCTGGCTTGCTCCCGAGGAAACACACGGAATATATCACTTTGAAGAAAGAACACAAAGTAAGATCTATCAGAAGAGGAGGATAACCCCAGGATAACCAGGGTGTGACGGGAGGGACGGGCAAACGTTTGGTGGGTCTAAAGGGCTTCTCAGAGAGGGAGCGAGGGGGTGAACGGCGACCAGGAATCCAGGTGCAAAATAGGCACAGGTTGATACTATTTGACCAAAATCAAAGTGCCTATTTATCACTTCAGCGGTCTCATCACCACCAGCTCACAACAAATAGCGTTTGGCCCCCAGAAACTGTGGATTATGAATACGCACATATGAATACACACATCAGCTGTCGGTAATGTTAAGTTCTATATTTTTAGTCAGGCAAATGGGCTTTTTAAGACTGGTGCTTTATGGGTCTCTAGTTCTGAAGGTTGACATACTTTGCGTCTTTAATTATAAAAAGGTTACCGACCTCTGCCATGCAGGATTGGGCTGTACAGCCTATCCCTTTCAGAACGTCTGCTTGGACATACAGAAGGTCTGAGGTTCAATCCCTGGCATCTCCAGTTAAAAGGACCAGGCAGCAGGTGTTGGGAAAGACCTCAGCCCGAGACCCTGGAGAGCTGGAAACCGGGGCTGTGGCTCAGTGGAAGAGCCTCTGCTTGGCATGCAGAAGGTCCCAGGTTCAATCCCCAGAATCTCCAGTTAACAAGAACCAGGCAGGAGGTGATGGGAAAGACCTCCGTCTGAGACCCTGGAGAGCTGTCAAGAGGGGCCGTGGCTCAGTGGCAGAGCCTCTGCTTGGCAGGCAGAAGGTCCCAGGTTCAGTCCCCATTAAAAGGACCAATCAGGAGGTGATGGGAAAGACCTCCACCTGAGACCCTGGATAGCAGCTGCCGGTCCGAGCAGACCATACTGACCTAGTTGGACCAGCTTCATGTGTGTCAGCCTCTATCCCAGCTGGGGTTTCCAGGTTCCCTTTGGCCACTGGTGGGGGATGGGGGTGTAGGGTTGCCAGGTCCAGGTTGGGGCACTCCTGGAGATTTGGGGATGGAGCCTGGGGAGGAGAGGGACCTCAGTTCCACCCTCCAAGGCCTCTATTGTCTCCAAGGGAAGGGATCTCTGTAGTCGAGATGAGCTGTAATTCCGGGGGATCTCCAGGTCTCACCTGGAGGATGGCATCCCTAATTCCTGGCCCAAGAACAGAGCTTGGTAGTCCCCCATGTCCTTGGCACAGTGTTCCCTCTAAGCTGAGTCAGTGTGAGCTAGCTCACAGTCTTTTCGCCTCCAGTTCACACAATCTTTCCTTAGCTCAGGAAGGCAGCAGCCAAATCACCCGCTCACAACTTTAATGCCAGGAGCTCAGAAAGTAGGATTTTTGCTTACAGGACTCCACAGCTTAGAGGGAGCCTTGGTCCTGGGACACCCCCAAACCCAGCCCGGCAAGCATGGCAGGGCTCAATCTAACCAGTAATATTTCTAACATATAGTCTTTCTACACCGGCACTTCCTCACAGCCTGCTTGCCGTGATACAATGGTCCTGACGGGTAGGCCAGAATTTCCACAGATCGGCGGAGCTGAGAGCGGCGGGTTGCCAGAGCTGCCCCCAGTGGTCTGAGATGGATTGTTCCCAGCTGCAGTTTGGTGTAGTGATTAAGTGCGCGGACTCTAATCTGGGAGAACCGGGTTTGATTCCCCGCTCCTCCACATGCAGCTGCTGGCGTGACCTTGGGTCAGTCACAAGTTCTCTCAGAGCTGTTCTCTTCAGAGCTCTCTCAGCCCCACCTGCCTTCCAAGGTGTCTGTTGTGGGGAGGGAAAGGGAAAGGAGTTTGTAAACTGCTCTGGGACTCCTTTGGGTAGTGACGGGCAGGGTATAAATCCAATCTCTTCTTCTGCCGCTGGGCTAGCAGAGCTCATTAAATGGAGGATTAACACATGGCCCTTATTCTTGGAAGGGAAGCAGACCGACCAAGAGAATTTTGTTGACCCCCCCCCAAAAAAAGCACACACACACCCCGGTGATGCAGCCAGGGCTGTGCCGGGCAGTTGACGGCTGCATCTACAAATCCGGTGGTTGTGCCCGTTTAAAGGTTCTCCTGTGTTTCTCAAAGACCAGCAAGGGCGGGGGGTTTCTTCCGGAGAAAGAAAACATTCCCTCTGTTTCCCTTTAATGGCTCTTTTTTGGCCGCTGGAATTTCTGTGGCTTTGGGTGTTTGTGAGGTGTTGCATGTGGTGCTTTGTAGAAAGATGTGCAATACAAAGAGAGCCTTTTAAAAATACACTCTGGAGAAAACCATACCCATTTCAGACAGTGGGTTTCCCCTACCTCCCGGCTCTTTGGGACAGGAGGGTCTTCCTTAAACGTTGCACCAAGAAATTCCAGCAGCTGCAGTGCTTCCTTGAGGCACGGTCTGGATCCTCAAGCGCAGCAGGGTATAGGAGAGGAGAGACCGCACTCTTTCACAGGGCAAGGAGGAGCACCGGCAGCTTCTTGCAAGCAGAAAAGTAGCACCACAGGGGAAAGGTACTGGTAGGCCCTTCCTTCCTGATGCCCTAGTTTGCTTTGAGGGGGAAAGGGGCCAATTAAGAAACCGGCACTTTTGGCCACCAGAGGATTGAAGGATGCTCTTGGGGCTAACCTGTGCAATGCCACTTTGGTGGGAGTTTTGTCTCCCGAGTAGCCCACCCCTGGCTCAAAAGCCCCCTCCCCCCAGCCTTTCGACCTCAGCCCCTTTGCCACAGGCGTGATCTGTGTCCCTTGCAGCGCTCTTGGAAGAAGGGAGAATGCCTAACCAGCTTCTCTGCAGTCTCCATCTTCTTTCTCTATGCTGGCCTTTTATTGCTCAGTGTGGATCTCTTAGGAACATAGGGGCTGGGAGGGACCCTCAGGGGTCATCTAGTCCAACCCCTTATACACTCACACTGACTCCTGCTCTATACCCAGAGGAAGGCAAAACAGTCTCCAGGATCCCTGGGCCAATGTGGCCTATGGGGGGACATTCCTTCCTGACCCCAAAGTGGGGAATCTATCAGGGCCATGAGAACCAGTCTGGTGTAGTGGGTAAGAGCGCAGGCTCTAAGCTGGGAGAACCAGGTTTGATTCCCCCCATGCCTCCACATGCAGCTGCTGGTGCAACCTTGGGTCAGTCACAAGTTCTCTCAGCAGTCCTCGAAAGAGCCATCTCAGCCCCACCTACCTCACAGGGCGCCTGTGGTGGGGAGGGGAAGGGAAAGGAGGTTGTAAGCTGCCCTGAGACTCCAAGTGAAGGGCGGGGTATGAATTCAATCTCCTCTTCATTCCCTGCCTACGTTCACAGAACCTGCACTGTCAGATGGCCACCCCGCTTTTGCTCTTTCCAAAGTAGGCTGTTCCCCTCCAAATCCACAGCGCTACGTGTGCGAAGAACTTGCAGGCTCTCTCTATAGCTTGTTCCTGTTCCTCTTAATAAAGCAACTTTTAAAAATAACATATCAGTGCGGCTCTTCCCTTCCCAAACACGTTCTGCCCCACTAGTTTGCACGCCTAGCATGGTATAGCAGTTTATTAATTTCAATTTATATCCCGCCTTGCCTGCACAGGCAGGCTCAAGGTGGTGTAAAAGGTAAAGGCTCCCTTGCTCGAAAGCCAGTCGAATCCGACTCTAGGGTTGCGGTGCTCATCTCCATTTCAAAGCCGAAGAGCCAGCGCTGTCCGAAGACGTTTCCGTGGTCATGTGGCCTGCATGACTAAACACCAAGGCGCACGGAACGCTGTTACCTTCTCACCGAAGTGGTCCCTATTTATCTACTTGCAATTTCTTGCTTTTGAACTGCTAGGTTGGCAGGAGCTGGAACTAGAGATGGGAGCTCACTCCATCATGCGGCACCCGGGTCTCGAACTGCTGAACTACTGACCTTCCACAGCCTGCAGTTCAGCGTCTTAACCACTTGAGCTACCACAGCTCAAGGTGGTGTACAACAGGTTAAAAGACAAGAAAGCATAGATACTTAAGTGCAGTATTATAAGATTTCATATAACAGACAATATACATAAAGTGCAGATGGCGATTGCTGTAAGGTGCTCCAATGCAATTAGGCCGGTGTCCAA